TCTGCTGAATATCAACATTTACTTTAGATTTTCCTTGTGTCCCTGTATTAATGATTAACTCTGTTATGTGTGTTTTTTCTCATTTTGTTGTTCTTGTACTCCCTATTCAAACTATAGTCTAGTCTTTTAGCCTCTTATATTGGATTGCTATTTGGGATGAGAGTTTTGGTATTTAAACACTTTGAGGGTCTGAGTGTATTGGAAGGCATGTTTTAGTCTATTGTGTAGTCCTATGTTGGTTTGCCTATCCTCTTGCCTCATGTTAGATTTGCTGAGTATGAATTCATGTAACAACTTAATAGTAATTAAATGTTCAGATGCATGTGTAGTTACTTAAGTTTTGGCAAATTATTTTCCACGTTTAAAACTGTGTGCATGTGCCTAAGACAAAGGGTATCAAGAAGAACCTCAATTGGGCCTATCATTGGCCCACGCGGGGCAGCTTAGCCAAATTTTTAACTGAGGCTTTTGTAATTGCCTTCTTTGGGCCCAGAGGCCCAGCGAGCCTTTACTGGTTTGTTCCTTGTCTGCTTTTATATATTTAGTGTAATGAACATGGACTCCCATATTGGAACTTCGGCTCTGAAAGGCCGAGCATAATACCTAGCCTGACCAAAACTTTTATGACCATTCGCATTTATTTCCCTGAAGGTCCAGCACGCCCTGTAGTTAATAAGTTGTGCAATGGTCTCAAATTGCGTCTGTTTTAAGTAATTCCTTCGGATAGATTGAGGTGTGCCATCAAAATTAATCTATGACCTTCACATGTTATAATTAGGCAATAGGATAATTGTTCGTAGAAAAGCCTTTAGGGCCGTTTAAAATACAATTGCGATTGTGTACACGTTCGCGTGATATAATTGCGATTCTAAACCAATTCGGAGTATGCGTTCGCGCAACTTCGACAAAACCTTCTTAATAATAAAATTGGTTTTCATAGGCTACTAATTTAAGTTAGTTTATAGTCCGAGGTGTGTCATCCATAGTTTAATCATACATGGCCCTCGTATCAATTTCATAATTTAGATATAATAAATAACAAATAGTCGTAGTTTTGCTTTAGGCACGCTTAACATATTATCATGGTTGTGGACACGTTCGCGTGACATGATTACGATTTCTAAAAACAAAACCGGAGTATGCGTTCACGCAGCTTCGGCCAAACATTCTTAATAACAATAAAGCGTTATTAATTGTGAACACGTTCGCGTGACACAATTTTGATGCGCCAAACAAATGGGTATGCGTACGCGTGACCCGTTTCAAGATAATTTTCTTAATTAAAAAACGGTGAAAGGTAAATACACATAGGTTCTAAAATCACTAATTAGACAATTTAGTCAAGCCAAGTATGATCAAAACGACCGTGCTAGAACCACGGAACTCGGGAGTGCCTAACGCCTTCTCCCGGGTTAACAGAATTCCTTACTCGGATTTCTGTGTTTGCAGACATAAACAGAGTTAAATCTTTCCTCGATTCGGGATTCTAAACCGGCGACTTGGGACACCACAAATTATCCCAAGTGGCGACTGTGAATCTAATAAATAATCCTGTTTCGATTGTCACTTTAATTGGAAATACTCCCTTATACCCTCCCGGGGGTAGGAAAAAGGAGGTGTGACAGACACCATCACGAGATGTTCAAGAAAGTCAAGAGTCAGGACCATTTCATATCATTTTCATTCTAAGAAATGCGGGGACTATCTGTATACGGTAAAAATCAGAAGGCCCGATTTTAGCCGTTGAAACGCTTCACAAGCGCGTCTCCAAAGGCTCGAGGCATGGCTCGAGGTTTGACCCCGAGGGTTCCCAATGTTTGACCTCGGGGCAGTGCAAATCGATGATTATCATGGGAGAGCGGGAAGTTCCCAAGGCGCGTGATCAAAGCTGACAAAACTTGTAAGAGAAGCACTAGTCTGTACCACATTAGCGAATAGCTATACCAGCTATATTTCTTTGTAATAAATGCATCTGTACCATGTTGGGATTTTTCCTCATATATAAAGGGGATCCTTGTCATTTTGTAAGGGAGGACACACTACATTGAATACAAGAACAAAAATATTCTCTGCTCTCTAACTTAGGCATATTCTCCTTTGATCTTATTATTTACATTTATTGCTTATATTTATTGTATTTCATTGATTGTTCTTCATTTATAGCTCATTATTGATCATAAAGAGACCTCATCAAGGCCTTTAGAACTGTTAGTTCCATCGATTGTTCACAGCCTAACGCATAACTCGACCTCGAGGCCCCGTACCAGCCAGGTCGAGGCCCCGATTCTTAGCCACTCGGTTTGCTTGATGCGTTACCTTCAAGCTCTTATCCTATTTTCTAGTCTCTCACTTAGCATTCATTGCTTAACAACTAGCATAAAAATAAATCACGTATTTTTAGAACCACAAAATCAAATCTAATTGTAATTACCATTTTCAAGGTAAACACTCTAGCTTCTTTTTGTAAAATATAATGTAGCCCCTACAATAATTTTTTAAGGAGATCTAGATTTTGGTATTCCTTGTTAAAGCTTAATTATTCGTGAATAAGAACTCATTTTGCTTGTTGGTCGATAGCTCCATAATTGGTTAGCACGAAAGCTAAAATGGAAAAGTGCCTTATAAAAAGAACTAAGCGGTCGTTGCAAATATAATCCGGTTTACAAGTCCGGAGTCGAATCCCACAGAGAACTAAGGTTTAGCTACAACTGTTCAATATTGCTAAGAAGACAAGCTCGAATAATTCCTATGTTATAAATATTAAGATTCTTGTATCTAATTAACTAACAAACTAAATTAGTAGATTAACAACTACAGATACTAAGGGTTTGAGACAGATTAAGGAGGTCTAGAGTTATGATTTCCCCAATTGTCGGAAACCTTCCCGCTACGTTTTCTATAAATTCGCTTAAGTATTCTCTACCGATCATGAGCGCTCAGACTGTCGTAACTCTCTCCCGAGTAATTACCACAATTTACTAGACATATTCTCCCGAATTAAGCTAGTTGGCATTAAGTATGGCTCACTCGGATCGCACGCAAGGTTTCGTTATCCCTAATCCCACCTTTAAACCCTCCGTATTGATCTCTCATATACGTTAGGAGTGATGTTGTTCAACAACTACCTAAATATGCACTCTCTCCAGAGTAATACACACTAAATAGGCACAGTCGATTGAGAGCTCTTCAACCAACCACAATAATAACGTAGTTGAACAACTAGAGAAAATACTACAGGAAATCTATATTAACGTAACAGGAAAATCATCCTCCAAAAGATTCCATCAAAACCCTAGATAACAAATTATCTATTCATAATAGTATGCAAAACCAATACTAGAATTCATAACCAATAATGGAAATAGGAAGAAGGAAGTGAAAAACTCGTAGAAGAATTCCCCGCCTTGCTCCTAGTGTATTCTTGCCTCCTTAGATCGAATCTCCGGCCTCCACGGCGGCTCTGTGCTCTCCCTAGGTCTAAAGTAGTATCCAACCTCGATCTTCCTCAAAAGTGGCATTTTTAGGTCTATTTATATGTGTAGGAAAAGTCCTAAATGTGTAGGTCAACTTCTAGTCAAGCCGGGAAACAATTAAAACCTTCAAAACTCGGACTGGGCCTGGCCTTAGGCCTGGCATCGCCTGGATAACGCCAGCCTAGGCCTGGCTTTAAGCTGGCCTCACCTGGATAAAGCCTGGTTAGGCCTGGCTTTAAGCTGGCCTCACTTGGATAAAGCCTGGTGGAGCTGGCTTTTGCCCGGGTTCTCCTTTTCACCATTCTCGGGCGCACTTTCGCCGTTGAAGCATCCCTTTGGCTCTACTTTCATGTACGATGCACCTACACATAAAATAGCCTCCATTCGCTCAAACAAAGTGTATTTTAACATTAAAGCATATAAAACGCAAAGCATATAATGTGCAAAAAAAACATAAATTATAGCCACACATCATGCTCTCACATTAAGTTTTGTTGGTTGAAGACGTGTTTGGGTTCGGATGTAACTCTTTGTTTCTTCTGGCTCGTCATAGAGGATTATGGGCTTGACCAAGGTCCTCTCAAGTTCTAAAAGTTTTTATTATTCATCAAATATAGTACATAAATAAAAAATATTTATAAAATTTTTACAAAAAATGAACAATAGTCAAAAATTAAACATAAACGCATACGTGAGATTTTTCTTTAACTTTCTATATTAATATTGGTTAATGAACTTCCATCATTGTCCAATATAATAGACCTAAAAGAATATTGGAAAGTCTCATATACCGTTGACAATGAGAAAAAAAATTATACAATTGTGTATGAAACGAAAAAGGAAAAGAAAACTGAAGTGGGATATCATCATTGCAATTAATGAGAATTAGAGAAATATTAATATTTATGTTGTGAAATCAGGTAATGAATCAGACACAAGGCACAACACCAATCTCATATATCCCGAAATGAAACACCTACAAGACTATGTGGTCCCAAATACTAATGGACAAAAGCTGCTACGTAATTTATTAGTAAAAGAAACAAGAGCGCATTGCCTATAGAATATTCTACAAAGAACGTATACCTTGTTGCATATGAGCCGATGTGATCTCAATGCAACTATAGATTTTGAAAGAAACAAAGAACTAAAAATTGAGAAAGATAAGATAAATGCGCTGAAAAGAAACAAAGAGATTGGGAAAATTAGGTTTTATTCCTCATGTCCTTACAGTATTTACTTTATCACAATATAAAGAGAACTAAGAACCATCTAACATTACTAGCAAACTAAGGGATTCTAATAAAAATAAATTAAAAATTTGTGGTGTTAAACTGCAATATAAACTTTATCACAATATAAAGAGAACTAAGAATCTATCTAACATTACTAAAAAAATAAGGATCCCGTTCCATTTTTCCATATTTTTTCACTGTTTACATCATAATTGATTTCCTTACTCAAGAAAAGTACATATGAATTAAACAAGATTAATGTGAGAGGTAAAATTAGGAATAATTGGATATATAAAGAACGTCCAAAATCCTTGAATTAAACTATTTAAGTACAATGAAAGAATTCTACAACATGAAAGAATAACACCGTTTATATATGAACTTGCTAATTAAGGTTAACTATAATCTAACTAAACTAGTCCTCGTACAATATTTGGAAAAGTTTCTAATTGATTAACCGCGCAAGCGAATTATAAAAAGAAACCCTCTCTTTTCCTAATCTTCTTTAGTATCTCTTCTCATCTGTGATGACACCATATCATGAAGAAGTCCGTCGTCTCCGGCCAAAGAGGAAGAATACGGGTAGGGCGAGTACCTTCTTTCTTGGAGTGAATTAGTTGAAAATAAGGATGAATAACCAACATTGAAGTTATTTAAAGGTAAAGTTGTAGTAGGGGAATAATGGAGGGGTTGTTGCTGCTGATCTTGATAATATTGAAGTTGTGGGATAGACAAAGGGGAATTGCTATAAATTCCTCCGCCTCCACTATTACCACCACCAATGGCGCCATCGTAGTAGGTGGTGGTTCGTGGCAGAGCGCCACCAATGCTCTGCGGCGGCGTAATGCGGCACGGATGTGTGTGAGTACCTTCATAAGTTGTAATAACTATTGAAGTATCTTTGACTGACCTTTCCACTCTCTTCTTCACTCCACATGAAATAGTTGTGCAACGATAATAGCTCCTGCACAAGAAATTTATGCACCTTACACTTAAATTTTAACAATGAATGGACTACTTGAAGAAAGAAAAAGGAAAATTTTCAAAATCAAGAAAGAAAAACTTCCCATTAGGATAAGCTATAGCAATCTTTGCGTAATTGTAGCCGGTTGGATTCGCTTTTTATTTTTCCTAACTGGTATATACTGATTATATATTAATTATATATGGTATATATATATATTATACATAAAATATATATGTGCCAGCTAGTTTTAGTTTAAACGATTGAATGAGCGGTAGAAGAATTAAACCTCTATAAAGTTAACGAATTTTCAATTATGAAATGTGTCATTTTCTAAACATGTATACCTTGGAAAGGGGCTGCTTTTCACAGCTTTTTGGCCGTATTTCCTCCATCTAAAACCATCATCCAAATGATCAATTTCACTCTTGGTCATGAATGCAAATCTTGGCTCTCTTTGCCTCTTTTGGACGTTCGTCTTTTTAGGTTTTAACCTAAGCCAACAAAGGAAAAACATCAAACGTTGCACAAAGGGAAAAAATTCAAATAAACAAGAAATTGGTAAACGGAAAAACTCACAAAGCATTTCACTTAATTAGATGATGCATTATTTAGAAACATATATTAAACCAGGCCCCCTTCAGAACAATTTAAGGTTTTAGGTGAGTTGGTTATATAGTTCAATATTGTATAAATATAATTATTGGAAAAAATAATATTCTTTCTTGATTGTATAATTAAGTTTTTAGATGAGTTAGTCGCATAGATGGTACATATTAGAACAGGCAAATGTCTTGAGTTCATATCTCATCGCACCCTTCATCAAAAATCTTAATTTTCACATGTTTGACCCATAAAAATTAAAGGAATCAAGCACGTGAGTAAATACACGTTGAAATTATAGTTAAGTAAATAAATGTGTGTTTTCTGTAACAAGTTAAGCTTTTAAATAAGGACAGCTCAACGCACAAGGCATCTCACGTTTACGCAGGGTCCGAGAAGGGCCACAGCCTAATGGTATGATGTAGACAGCCCACCTTAATACAAGCATTAGTGGTACTTCCACGGCTCGACCTCGTAACCTATAAGTCACGCGAAGACAACTTTATGTGTCTTAGATTGACAAAAACTTGCTAGTCCATTAAGTTTATAAGAAATGCTAAAAGAATAATTTATTTATTTTGGTCCATAAAGAAGCAGAATTTAAGCTTACTGTTTCTTATACTTGTCTTCATCTTCATCTTGTTGCTTTACTGTATTGCTCTGTTGATCATCCTCGGCAGCTTCAGTTGATGATGAAGAAATAGACAACGAATTGGGGGTCGTCGGATTATTCACCAACTCTGATGATTCTTGAAATGTGGAAGTTGGAGATGGAATAATAGCCAGTGATTGAGGTGGTGGAGTTTGAAGCAAATCGAAAATGGAAGGAATAGTAGTATTGAAATCAAGAAGATGAGCACCAAACATGTTATCTAAAAAACCTAAAGAATCCTTTTCAGTTTCACACAACATATCAAAGATGTTTGGTAAAGAAAAGCTAGTTTGAATCTGTTGTGAAAACATCGGATTTTCCAATGAAGTCTCTGCTTTTAGCTTGTTTTCCTTCTCCATAATATTGTACTAGGTTCTTGTTCAAATGTTGGTCTTCTGTTTCTCAGCTGTATAGTCTTATTGTTGAAGTGTGAAGAGAACTTTTGTGTTTCTTTTGGTTACTTTTTAAAGGGTTTTGTGTATGGGAAAAGAGGTTGGTCCAAGATAGCCAGGGGAAAGTAGTTTTTTACACTTGACCGGAAAATGCCGGTGGTCCAAACTAAATTAAATGTAAACTTTGGCTTATGAAGTAAGTTTAGTAAATTATGAAAATGTATTACTCCAGTATAGAGCAAAAACAGATCATTTTTACCATCGAACTGTGAAATGTTACTTAACAAAAAATACTGCTCATAACGAAGACTGTAACTAATGGACGTGTTCGATACATCGGAATCTGACTTCATCTGAATTCGCGTCGAAAAATCCCATATTAAAAAATAAAGCGCTCTCAGATAACTTCATATTCCGGACTCGAAAACACATGCTCACCAAGGGCGGAGCCACAAGCCGCCCTACGAGTTCGGTCGAACCCAGTAGTTTTTGCTCAAATAGTGTATTTGGTATTTTGAATTCATGAAATATTTTGAATTGCTTAGAACTCAGGCATTAACATTTGAAGTCGTGATCCAAAAATTCAAAACCCATAAGGTTGAAATCCTGAATCCACCTCTGATGCTCACTATGCACTATAAATTAGCATGTATATAGAGAGAGAGCACATGTATTAAATAGTGACTACCAGCTATCTAACACAAAAGTAACCTTTCAAAATTATTTAATATTAACTCATAAATTTGAATTAAAATAACCAATAAAAAGTTTCTCATTAGTCTAATTAATTTGATTAATAGAACTAATTTAACTAAGACCAGAAGGCAGAATTAGCAGGTGAGTGTTGAAGGGAAAAGGAGAGAAGTGTTGGCAATAATGTGGGGAAGAAGACCACCGCTTCAGCCAAATAGTTGGCGCTTTCTTACGCGTTGTTGTTGACCGGTTACCGGGAAGAGTGTGAACTGGCTTTGCTTACATGTTCGAGGGAAATTTAAAGGGGACATGTGTGCTCTTAAATCCTTCTGTGTTTTCCACTTTTTTTAATGGAAAATTCTTTCTTGGGGAACAAGAATGTCCGTCCCCATTCTTAAGTCATAGCTAAAAGAATAATAATAATAATTATTATTATTATTATTATTTAACAAATTAGATGGAGTTTTTATGCAAAGTTTTTATATTAATGATTACAAATAGTGTTGTAAGTGTTGGTCGAAGCTAGGGGTGTACATAGGTCGGGTTGGTTCGGATTTTACAATTACCAAGCCAAATCAATTGTGTCGGATTATTAAATCTAAAGATCAAACCAAACCAATAAAATTCGGATTTTTCAATCTCAGCTTTTCTCGGGTTTTCGCGTTATTCGGGGTTTTTTCGGTAAAATCTTCATAGAACAAAACATATAACTTGTGCTCAAAATATTTCTTTAATCCTAGTAAGATACAACAATATAAAGTACTTTCTAAGAAAATAATATAAAATATGAGATGTGTCATGGCATTATCCTAACAATAAATACAATAAAATTATGTAATATAAATATTGTTAATTAAAAAATCATAATAAAAATAAACATAATCTAAAAGTACTAAGTCATGCTAAAATAAGTAGACTAATAAGGGAGCATTAATTACATGACTAAACGCTAAAGAAAAAATAAAAATAGGTTATGCATTTTTATCTAAATTATTGCAAACAAAAAATATATATTCAATACATTCTCGTTAGTAGTATTGAATTGAATGTCTTTTGTTAGCATTAGTATTGATTTGATTTTGGTTTGGGCTTTTGTCAGCATTATTTAATTTACTAATATTAATGGCTATAAAACTTATTGGAACATTCAAAAGTTCCAAGAACCTTGAAATAATACCTTAAAAGATAAAATTATGAAAATTTTTAAAAAATATTTATAAATTACATCACAATAAGTATATTTATATATTAAATATATCTAAAATTTCTATATATTTAATATCGGGTTGGTTTGGTTTCGGTTTGACTTTCTTTAGTTAAAACCAAACCAAATCAATTATGGTCGGGTTTTTTTTTCCAACACCAAACCAAATCAAACCAAACCATAGTCGGATTTTTTTTCCGATTTGACTCGGTTATCGAATTGGTGCGGTTTGTAGGTTTCTTTTGTACACCCCTAATTAATATCATTATACAGCTTACATTCCCAACTACAATTTATGCTTTTAAAATTAGAAATTAAAGAGCGGCATGAAAGCAGGAACAACGTAACAGACAAGTGTTCCCAATTTCATAAAAACTAGATGTCCCAATTAAAGTCAACTATTTTGTTAAGCAATTGAATTCATCAAAGTCAAATGAAAAAGTAATAGCATTGGACCACCAATGATAGATGACATGTATCCTAGTACATATATCTTTTTAAATCATGGTGTCGGGTCAGCTTGCGCACATCTGAACTAATTTTATATATATATATATATATATATATATATATATATATATATATATATATATATATATATATATATATATTTGTTATCTCCCACCNTTAGGGATACGTACATAAGGGTAATTTTGAAAAAACAAATTGAATATTTTCTTGATTATATAAATGGACACTTATTTTGGACCAAAATAAAAAGGTAAATTGGCCACTTATTGTGGATCGGAGCAGGGGGCGGATCTAGAGTATGATATATGAGTTCCCCGGAACTCAGTAACTTTTGCGTAGACCTTGTATTTTTGTTAAAAATTTTATTAAATATCTATTTGTGAACCTAGCTAGTTATTACTGTATATTAATTTGAGATTGCGACAGGAACCCATAAACTTAAAATCCTGGATCCGCCTATGGATCGGAGGGAGTATTAAACATTTGTCTCGTTGTTCTCATTTATTGTTTGTTGCTTAATTAACTTTAGCCAATTATAAGATCTTTAGACATTTGTATCAGACCTAATTGTACAATCATGTGACAAAATTGACGAGAGTTTAATTAAGGTGATGCACGAAGAAATCGTGTACATAAAATAGTGAATAATAATGTTTAAAAATCAGAATAAATTTAAGCGTGATACACACCCTGCTGGACTTTCTTAGCCTCCAAAACTTTGCTAGGGGAGAAAATGAAAGGATATAGCGTCATCACGGCTTTATTTTTTTTTTTTGTTTTCTATCTAGCTAGGTAGAAATGACACCAAGTAGCCACTTTAAAGAACTGCAATTTAGAAATTAGTTAGTACGTCATGAATTTTAGTTTTTCAGTTTAAATTTTCGGAACAAAAATATGTTGAATTGTCATGAAGTTAAGATTTTTAGTGTGAAAGTTCTAAGACAAAATAAGTACTGGCTAATTTCTAAATAACATTCCTGAGAATGACTCTCTGTGCACTTGCCCCTCTATCTAGTCTCTGGTATCCGAATTACGGTCCCGACGAATTTGAATTCGAGCCGCGTAAGGCCTACTAAATGGGTGAGCGCTCTTTACCAAAAAAAAAATACGTTTTCAAATCTTGAACCTACCAGCTATAGTAAGGTAGAGGAATTCTATCTATTCCACCATAATATTTGATGGTGTTAATAGAGCTATTGAGCAACAAAATCTTACCTCCATATAGGAGTGGCAAACGGACGGGGCGAGTCGGATATGGTTCGGGTCGAAAGAAGGGTAATAAAAAAACGGATAAATTATTCAACCTGACCCATATTAAATATGGATAAAAACGGGTTAACCGGCGGATAATATGGGTAATTATATTATCCATGACTTTTGAGTATGATCACTTTTGGTAGAATTTCTAGTCTCCCCAATTTGAGGAACCCCCAATTTGAGGCTTTACAAATGTAAAAGTTAAACTCATTCGTTATCCATTGGTTGCCCATTGGTTATCCATTTTCTAAATGGATAAATATGGTTTTTATCTACATTTGACCCGTTTTTTAAAAGTTCATTATTCAACCCGTTTTTAGTGAATAATACGGATGGTTAACTGCTTTCTTTTAATCATTTTGCCACCACTACCTCGGTTGAATCCAATATCCACGAACATGGCAAACAGACGGTTCATATATATTTTCGAATCCAACAACAATGTTGTTACTGTATTGTTTAGAGACAATGCACATGCGAATCTTGTCGACGCGGTTTCTGCTTAGCGAATGATGTAGCCATTTAAGTTATTATTATTTTATATATATACACGATATATATCGTAATAATTTTTTACTTTGGCAATATAAATTTAATATGTGATAGCAAGTTACAACTATCTTTATAAGATTGTTTATCAGTGAGTATTATTTATCATAAAGATTTACGTATAATTATATTATAAATAATCTAATCTTGTAAATATTTTGTACACTAGTGTGTATATAACTTAAACTCGTAAATGAATTTAATGTCTAGGTTCTATTTCCATAGGCTAGGATTTACTTGCGTTTCACGCGGCTTTTCATTTTCCCACCTTATGTTTGGATTCGTCTGATCTATCTCTGTCTCACTATTCTTCTTTTTTTCTCAATATGGCAATGGGCATGGGAATTTCTTTATTCTATATCTGTACTACTTTATGGTAATGGCCATGACATTTCTTTATTCTACTATAATACTTGGGTAAATATTTATTCGCACTCGGTGTTTACGTCAAATCAAACAGTTTAATTATGAGAGTGACCAATTAAAGTGGACACGCATATCACCTAACCATGATTAACTGACAAATAATTTATATGCAAGACAAGTATTATATATTCATTTGCTTGGTGTAAATACCGAGTGGGAATAAGTTTTTAGCATAATACTTCTATAATGGGGCTTTTTTTACTTTTACCCCGCAGCAGAAACTACTTACATTTGGCAGCCGAAAAAGTGTATAAATTTTGTATAATTTTTGTATATAACATACAGAATGTATGTATATATATATATATATATATATATCAAAAATATACTTTTTCGGCTATTATTTTGAGAACGACTATACTGTATCATTTTTCCATGCCTTAATAGCGTTTGCCAACTAGCCTGTTTTCATGTTTCTCAGTGTGGTCAGTACCGAGTGTAAAAGGCCATAAGAAAAGGTTACGTC